TGTGGCATCACAGCTCACAGCAACCTCTAACTCCTGGACTCAAGCGATTCTCCTGCCTCAGCCTCCCAAGTAGCTGGGACTACATGCGCCCGCCACAACGCCCGGCTATTTTTTGGTTGCAGCCGTCATTGTTTGGCAGTCCGGGCTGGATTTGAACCCGCCAGCTCAGGTGTATGTGGCTGGCGCCTTAGCCGGTTGAGCCATAGGCGCCAAGCCGACCTAATTTTCATACCCTGGACACATGCCACATGTATGTATCAGGGCAGTAGGCCCAGTTCCTTATGTTAACCACCTCCACATGTTAATGAGCTTGTTATAGTCCCTTGGGTGGTCAACTTACAGAAGTTCCACTATACAAACAACACTCTAACATAAAAAAGCAAACCACCAGTGTTTTTAAATGAGCAAAAGATTTGGAAGACCATTTACCAAAGATGATATATAGCTCGTAAACATACACATGAAAAGAAGCTTAGCATCATTAGTTACAGGGAAATGCTAATTAAAACCACAAGATGATTCCAGGATACACCTATTAAAATGGCTTTGAAAAAAATAATACCAAGCACAATGCCAAGGCTGCCAAGCAACAGGCACTCTTGTTCACTGCTGATGAGAATGCACCAGTGCACAGCCAATTTCAAGGACAGTTTGGTAGTCTCTTATAATGTTAATGATATACTTATTACATGGCACAGCAATCACACTAAGGTAACTTAACCTAAATGAAATGAAGACCTATGTTCACAGAAAGACTTGTATGTGAGCACATCTCACGGTTCTATTCATAAACACCAAAACCTGGAAACAAGCCTAGTAGCAGCTGAAACAGCAGCTGAAGGGGTACACATGGGACTCTGTGCCATGGAACACCCTCAGCACCAACAGGGAGCCAGTGAGAGCAGCAGGGTGACTCCCAAGCAGGCACAGGAGGGGCTGCATGGGGATGAGGACATACCGGCCAAGCCACACTCAGCAGTACAGGAGAAGTGTTTTAGGGATAGAATTGCTCTCAACTCACCCAAGAAACAGAAAGAAAACCCTCAAAGCTCTGGCACATGCAAGGAGCCTGCCATATGCCTAGACACATACCTTACGTATTTCCAGAAGCTTCTTGAGCCCTTCACGCAGTTTCCCTGCCAATTTCCCACTTCTTCCCTCTGCCTGTTGTTCCTCAGAGCCCGATAACCTCAAAACAGAAATGTCCACCAGCCCCAGAGGGGACCTCCATAAGCCCTAATAGCTCCAATTCTTGCTTTCTTCATCTTAAAATAATATAGACCACAGGCACCCCCAAATCTGTGTCAGTTCTACCTTGCAGTGCTCTGCCATAACCTCTCCTTTTTTCCAGGTATTGTGAAGCGATTGAAGATTGGAAATAAAAGCTGGAATACATTGCTATAGTTGCTTGATTTGCTTATTGGGAATATTTTTGTACTTTGAAAAGAGTCTGTAATCACAGAATTTGAGAACCTGTCTCCCAGAGATGCCATGGAAAGCCCTCATATGTAACCTCCTGAGGCAAAGTAAACTTCCAGAAACTTCTATGGCACACAGGATGTGACACAGATGTGGTGGGCAATGGCCACTAATCTGGCCTGGCAGGGGCCAGCACAGGCACCAGGAGGGCCACACTACCAAGAGCAGACATCTTCCTTAGAAGGTTCCCCCCAGGGGAGATCTAAAACATCCACCCGTGCTGGGCAGCAGGTGACTGAGGGCAACACCACCCTCCCAGAGAGCTGATGGGACTGCCAGGGCTTGGGTACACCCTTAGCCAGGGCAGACCATCAAGGGGAGCCAAAGCACAGGCCTGATGAGCAGAGATGACCTGAAAGCCTGCTGGGAGGGCAGGACAGCTACAACTCCCAACAAAACTTGCCTACTTAGAGAGAGAACTCTGCCCACCTTTAGGAAGATGAGACAGGAGGAGCAGAAGGAGCCTCTAGTGGGCCTGAGGGTGAGGACACAGCTGAGCAGTTCATAGAGACCTGGGCCCTTGATGCAGGCCTCTGTGTTTTGCAGCCGAAAAAAGAGTTTATGATTCTAATTTTGAACAGGTATAAGGAAAAGAACAATGCCGTTATCTTTGGCCAAGAATAAAATCCAAACTAGCAAACATTTCCAGCTCTCATTTTACTAGCAATGAGAAACTTTAAAGGAAAAGTAATTAATAATACTTGAGAATTTGCTTTTTAAAATATTGCGATAAGAAAGGAAGTATGAAAACATTTCCTCCACTGAAAGTGCATTTCCCAAAGGAGGCTGCCTGGAACCAACTGCCCAGGGCCGAGTTGTAGCCTGAACCCACCCTTAGAAGGGGCCCGTCTGGAACAAACACCTGCATTTCTAAGTGAGGATCTCTAAGCACCTGTGACACTAGGAGTTTCCATGGAAATTAGACACAAGCCCACTAAACCCCAAGAATGCAGTTCCTCAATATTTCTATTGCTTATAAAGGATAAGATTTAAAAGTTCATTGATCCTCTTCAGGAGCCAAAGCCCTCGGCAAAGACAAAGACCATGAGAACCTGTCCCCACAAGCCTTCCTCCCTCAGCCCACCTGGCTGGGTACCCACTGGGCTCTGCAGGGAAACCAGAAGTGTGGTGCAAAGCAGAAATTCCACCCATGGCACACAGAGCTGGGACAGAGGGAATAGGGGAGGCCTTGAGAGTCACAGAGTGAAGGGCTCAGTGAGACCATAACACCAAAATGCAGGGGCCCAGAGGGGAGACAAGGAGAGAGAAACTGGCTAGAGTCAACCACTGTTGAGGCACCTGGAGAACTACTACTCTCTCCTTCCTCCTTGTGTCTGAAACCTAGTAAAAAGCTGAACATGAAGAAGGCAAGACCACTGTCCTCACTCTTGGGGCACAGGCTCCTCCATGGTAGTTGCAAAGGTCAGAGGCACCATCTTTTCCCTCTTGGTGAAGAGCCACCTCAGGACACATCTAGCACCTGGGGCCTGGTCTACAATAGCCTGATGACCAGAAGAGCACTGCCCACCCCACCACTGATGAACCACCAGAAAATTTAAGAGGGTAGCTGCCAAAGCTGTCAAGGAAAACAGTAAGGTAGGAAACTGCCTAAGCAAGATCAGTAATCCCCTCAGGAGGGGTGTGACAAGGAGTAGGTTCCTGTGTATTGCTGTCTGGTGGAGACAGAAGCCCACGACTAGCCCAGCTCAGAGGCTGCCTCTCAAGCCACTTGAGACCGCCCCTGTGAGAGATGCCAGCATCTGTGGCCTCTGTGAGGATGGGATGGCACAATGAGAGTACTTCAGCTGGTGACAAAACCACATGAGGTGACAAAGCACAGCTGGGCAGACAGAAGGGCACTGCCTAGCACGAGTGGCTAGGGGCCAACTGAGGCATGGCAGACAGCTGCAGGAGTGACTGCTGGAGCACGGGCCGGAGGGTGAGAAGTGTGGGCTTCCTTTCAGGGGTATAAGGTTGCTCTGAGTGCTCTGGGATGGCTGTAGGATTGGCTCCAGCCAGGTTAAGCCATATGCAACTTGGATGGTGTGGACACTTGACTATTTCTGACTTTTGTTGAAGATTAGACTGGCACCTGGCTTTACCTGAGAGACTGGGACCCACCAGGTAGGGTGATGGATCAGAGAGAGCTAGCAGGTGAGAACTAACCTGGAGACACTGCAAGGGAGACAGAGGCAATGGCTCTGGGCAGCAGCCATACTGCCTGCCTCAACCCTCAGGCCCTAACATCCTCCTGCTGCAGTAGGTCAGCCAGTGTCCCCCTCCCTGCCCAGGGATCCTGGGTCCCAGCTGGAGCCCACCCTGCTGCCCTAGGAGCTCCAGCAGCACCGAACTTCACAGGTCACATCTGCCCCCTTTCTCTCTGGAGTCTGGCCAGCCCTGCCCTGGGATGCCCCTGACTCTCCCACCGCTGGTGAAGGTATCAACACCCTTTATAGTACCCAGGAAGTTCTACTCTACCATCTTCTTTAGGAAAATGAGCCAGTTCATCTCTGAAGGTACACCAGACCGCTGAGAAAGGTACAGGAAGGCCCAGCACCTATAGGAATCTCTGGCTCAGCAAGTCCCTGCCCAGGTCACAACTCTTAGCACTTACAGAGTAACATGCAGCAACTGGCCCATCCCCAGGCCAAAATCACACCAGAGAAGCTCGTGTTGGCCTTTCCAAATCCTTAATTCAGGGGGTAGGTGGGGAAGGCTTAATTTTTTTTAGGTTCTCTCTCACTGACTCATGAGTAAAACCAGAGACTGCAGAAAAATTTTCCGATGGTAGCATACAGGCCAGGGGGCTGCTATTGGGTGGGGTGGAAGACCACCTGCCTTTGCAGGGACACTGCTCTCCAGCATGTGTTTTGGAGCCTCGAGGCTTCTTGTTAACTACAAACTCTGACAATCTAAGGGCCTCCGAGGTGCGGCCCTGAACACAACGATGCTGCACGTGACTGAGCCCAAACACGTGTTAGGCTAAGTGGTCCTGCGTGGAGGGGCACTCACCTCCAGCAGCAGCCGTCCCTCCAGCACGGTGGACCCTCCACTAGCGCAGCCATCTCCGACTGAGGGGGCGCTGGCTGCCCGCCGTGGGCACTTCTCCTGCACCACTATGAGGAGAAGAGACGCGTTAGGCCCCTCCCAGGACCCCAGGCTGAGGGCTTTTCTTAAGTTCTGCTCTCGTTTGTCTCCCAATCTTCACTGGTGCCTCTTGCTAGTAGATCCTCAAGAGGACCGGAAGACACCAGGGGCCCCCAGTTTTATTTTGGACCCTTCTCTAATCCACTCCGTTCACCAACACTCAGGTTCAGAAGCGAAAGCTTCGAAGGGCAGACAGATCCAGGAGGTGCCGAGCAGGCCCAGGCCGCAGCCCCAGGCCTCGGCCCTCCAGCCTCTGATGCCCAGAAGGGGGATGTGTCTCAGGTTTCGGAGGACCTCACCACCCCACTCCAGGTCCTGCAAGGAAGCCACTAAGCGTGTGGAATGAGGGGGTCAAAACTGTGGGAGAAACACACAGCCGTCCACAGCCAGGCCACTCACAGGTGCTGCCTCCCCAGGTCCTTGGGATAGAGGAGTAAGGAGAGTGGGTTTGGGCTGGAGGTCTGCTAAGGTATGTGCTGGTTCTGGGCGCGCAGGGTGAACTCGCCAGCCCTCCCTCTCCCCCTCCCCCCTCGCCTCTCCAGTCTAGCGTGCAGGCTGAGCGCCGCCCACTTCCCCCACAGCCTGGGCGCTGTCACGCTATGGGGCCTCCAGGCCTGGCGTGCGAGCCGAGCCCCCGCCCCGCCCCCGCCTCCGCCTGGTGGCCCGGGGCGAGGCGCCAGGGAGACCGCGGACATTGCCCATCAATGGAGTCCGCCCGGCCCCCAAGCCTGCGGCTGCTCGCACGTCCGCCCTGGGAGGGGCGCCTCTTGGCTCTGCTGGGACCAGGTGGCCATGGCGGGATCTGAAAGGCGGTGAAGTCACCGGCCCACAAGGCACCTTCCACAGGAAAGTACCCTGGGCAGTGCATCCAGGACCTCAAGGGTCCTTCCAGGCCAGCGCCCTGCTCAGCCTGTGCGCTTACTGGTTCTGGCCCCTGGGAAAGCGGGAAGCTGTGAGAGTCGGCAGGCCAGGCTTGGCCTTAGTCCGTCCTCAGTCCTGGGCATCAGCTCTATGGCCAGTTCCACTGTCTGCTCTGCCAACAATTGCTGGGAACCTGGGCCGTGTTTGACATGCGTTTTCAGCTGTCTCATGGGCTGCCCACCCCAGCTCGCCACCTCCTATCCTCTTCCATGGTGGGATTCTGAGGGCCTGGGAGGTAGGCTGCCCACTGAGATGAAAGTTTTGTTTTAACATGATTCCACTCACCCCAGCTCCCACTGCAGACTCCCTTCTGAGTGACCCTAAGGACAACTGTGTCTAGGGGTTGCCCCTGCCCCCAGCATGATCCTGTTCCCTGTGAAGTACCCAAAACTCCCAGGGGAGAATGTGTCATGGGAGGGTACCACGCCCTCTATCCCTCTCCCAGTCAGGGCTGTATCTGCAAACCCCTCTGCAATTTCCACATCAAAGAAAGGGCCAGGGCCTCACAGTCTGAAAACATCCAAACTTTCCCTTTGTTTCTCAAGAACTGAAAGATAAACATTTTTGCCTTTTGAAAATGAACCATGATACATACCATTTAGTGATTGTTGACAGCTACAAATTGAAATGCCTCCCCTCACAGTTATCTTCTGAACATGTGTTTTCTGTTCTGGCTTCTTCACAGGAAAGGTTAGAGGAAACACTTGAGACTATTGCAAAGGCTACTGGTACGTGAGACTGTGGACAGGGAGCGCCTCTCCAGCCACCAAAGAGGCAGCTCTGGAGAGGCAGTTAGGAGAGCCCAGGTGGGTGATGAAGAGCCCCCCCCCCCATATCTGGGAAGGCCCTACAGCACAGGACAGCTGCTCCTGAGGGTGCACTTGCAGGCTGTTCATCAGAAAGAAGCCACACTCCAACCTTCACCTGTGGGACAAAGTCCCTCAGGAAACTCCAGACTTCCAATGATGACGCAGCACACGGTTTGGATGCTGCCCTGTGCATGGGGTGGGGGTGGGGTGGGGTGGGGGGAGGCACCAACTGCATCCACAGAGTGTTGCCTTCAGTCCTGGGAGGGTGAATGAGCATGTCTCACCGTCCCTGAAAAGGATAGGAGGTCCTTCCTTCCCTCTGATGTGCAGAAAGAGCATCTGCCGAGAGTAGACCTGTGCCCTGGGACCACCACTTCAAATTGGCTGGCAAAGAAAGTTTTCCACAGAGGGTCAGCCACCCACACAGTCTGGCCTCAGGGACCCTCCTCCCTAGGCCCCTGCCCCTCTGCATGGCAAGATGGGTGAGTGCTCTACAGCCAGGTACTTCACTTCTTGTCAGCCTGTATTAGCCAGGTGAGCACCAGCAGGTGAGAAAACAGTTGAGGAACTGCAAAGGGAGGGGCAATGATCAGCCCACAAGGTGCAGTGGGAGGGGGTGAACCTCCTGCCCCTCAGTGGGCCCTGCTTCCCAAGCCATGTGTCCCCACAGCTTCACTCTGGAGTTTGAAAATTCCAAGACAGGTGCCCATGAGTGAGTGCGGGTATGTGTACATGTGCGTATATTTAGGGGTGCATGTACACTGTGTGCTGGGTGCCTGAGAGCTGCAGCACTGCGCTGGTTATGTGCAGGGCTTATTAAACCTACATGAGCGCACGCACCTGATGCACTCACTGGGGAAATCAGGCACAAAGGGTAGAAAGGCTCTTAGCCAGTGGGTGTTAGTGTACATGTATGTCCTTCCAAAATCCTACTTATGGCTTGTCTGTTAGTGGGGTTATAAATGCCATTCAAATTCTGATGTCCTTCAGGTAAGAAAAATTCATCAGGAATATAAGTAAACATGCCCACTGCACACAAACATGATATTTAGAAAATTAGAGCACAGTCCAATATGTATATTGCTCCAAGTTGTCCCATTTCTTCAAGAAAAACTTCCAGATTTTTCAAAGTGCATTGAGCTATAGAGATTTCACACTTCCATGCAGTGCAAAAAGAACCATAAAAAATATATTTCCTCTGAGCATCAAAGACCAGGGAGTGAACACTGGCAGTGCCCATGCATTTCTCTGGTTCAGAGAACACACCTCTAACCACTTTCAGAAGTCACACCAGAGCCTCAGGCTGTGTAGCACCCCCTGTCCTGTCAAGAAAATGCACCACTGCCTTTAACCCTATGTTATCATGGAAGATGCAACCAAAAATAGCTCTTTGGGAGAAAAATATCTGTGCACATTGCCAGCCTATGTTCTCTTCATGACATGAGACATCTGGTAGAAACAGACTATTTGGACAATCTTATGAAGTTTTAACCTATGAAAGGAAAGTATACCAGTCAAGCCAAGGGTTTAAGAAATGTTTTGTAAAACAAATCTCCCCTACTAATGCAATCAATGCAGATAGCTAATCCATGCAGGTCACAGGTGTAAAGATGAGCACAGGACACTGTGCAATGCCTGCTCACCTTACCCCAGGAGCACTGCCTTGGTCTGTTTGGACGTGTCTTACCTTTTGCTGGCTGGGGCGCCACGCCCTGTGACTCCTTTGCCATCCACCTGCAAGTACAAAGGCTGCCCTGTTTGTAAACTCTCATGTCAAAGAGAAGTAAGTGCCCAGCTTCACTGTTGTTTATAAATAATGAATTTATTTCAAGTATATTTATAAAGTTGCATAATCATGAATTTGCAGGTAACACCAACTTGGAGTCAGCCTATGTGCCTGTCATCATCACCTGCTGTTTGCTCACATGCACCAGTCACACAGAACTGCAAATGATCAGCTCCTTTCAGGGTCTGATAGTCTTCACAGTGAGTAGGCACAGCCTGAGCTAAGTAAAAGCCTCAGTGCCCAAACTGTCCAGCTGCACAGGGGCCTCATGAAGGACTGGGGACTCACCCATGCAGCCATTTACCTCTCCAGCATCTCTGATGCCATCCCCGTCCTGGGGATACAAGACACAATGAGAATGGATGAAACCTGGAAACACACAGGCCAAGTGTGAAGGAGAATAGAGCAGGAGATAGGAAGAGAGGTTCTGTCAGGGTCTGGGGCAGAGGTTGTAATGTTGAAAGTCTGGCCAGGGGGTCAGGTACAGTGGTGCCCAGTGCTTTGGAAGGCTGAGGCAGGAGGACCCCTTGAGGCCAGAGCTCAAAGCTGCAGTGACCCATGATGACACCACTGCATTTCAGCCTGGGTGACAGCTGTTTCTAAAAAAAAAAGTGGGGCCAGGGAAGGCCATCTGAGGGGCTTGTGGGGGTATGCCATGTTACCAGACCAGCCTCTCTCAGCGAGGCTGCCTCTACCCATGTACAGGACTGCCCAGGTTGGCCCACTCCTCTGCTCTTCCCACACAGGTTCTGCAGCTCAGACCAGCATCTGTGAGACAGGGTGGTTATGATGGCAGCAGTGAGGAAAGTGTTAGCTAATCTTGTATTTCTCTTCTCAAAAGGACCAGATGGCTTGGCGCCTATAGCTCAACCGGCTAAGGCGCCAGCCACGTACACCTAAGGTGGCGGGTTTGAATCCCCAGCCCGGACCCGCCAAACAACAATGACGGCTGCAACCAAAAAATAGCCGGGCGTTGTGGCGGGCGCCTGTGGTCCCAGCTACTTGGGAGGCGGAGGCAGGAGACTCGCTTGAGCCCAGGAGTTGGAGGTTGCTGTGAGCTGTAATGCCACGGCACTCTGCCCAGGGGGACAGCTTGAGGCTCTGTCTCAAAAAAAAAAAAAAAAAAAAAAAGGACCAGATGCCTGAAGATGTCAAGTGTGCCTAAAAGCATTAAAAGGTGACTGGCTTCACACACACACACCTCTATGCACATCATGTTCTTCCAGAACACAGCTACTTTGCAGGCCCTCTTGTACCCACGCCTTCCCATTCTCCCCCTACCTCCCTGCTCCTGGGGACGTACCCTCCTACCAGCTCCTCTCTAGGCTGGAGTAGCCAGGTGTCTGCTGGGATACCCTAGGACAGGCCTCCTCAAACTATGGCCTGTGGGCCACACGCGGCCTGCCTGCCTAGGACATTTATCCGGCCCGCTGGGTGTTTTTGCCGCAGCTGA